GCTATCTGTTGAATTCACTGTGTAATTACCTACAAGCAGCAAAAACATTTGTTCCAATTATCCTGCACAGTTAGTGATTTATGTGTTATTTGTACAATAATTTTACATATAAAACTTGTATAATTGTCACTTTTATAATAATTGCTACTACTATTTTTCTCTGAGTGTAAGCAATACGATTAATCGTTTTCGCAAAATTAACAGAGTCTACGAAAAGTTATCGCAGTCATTTTCGTTTATACGAATTCTTAAAATTCTTAAAGATCTGATAAGCTAAAAAAAGAACAATTTAAGACTGTTGACTTTTCTAATTTATCATCATGTACAATTTTACTGCGTAATACGGAAGCAGATTAAGGTTTAGTTTCACACTTCCACGTGCTTCTAATATTTATGGCGTGTTTCCTAGGGCATCACACTCTCCTCTTATTGGTGTCTCCACGGACCTGACGTTTCCGTGCACACCCTCAGTTTTTCGACAAATTTCTCCCGAGCTAATCTCATGATGGTTACGGCTGACGGAAAACTTCCGCCGCTTCTTTTTTTCCCGCAGGAGATGTAACTTCTGCGAAAATTACTTCCAAGTAATATCCGATAAAATGATTCAAGTGAGGCTATCGCCAGCTGGAAACGCAGTCTGGATCTTTTTCAAAGATATATTTGCGGTGTTAAATTACGCTTCAAAAGCATAGACCATCGAAAGCATTTTTATAACGCAGATAAGTTATTTTTACATTTTCTCAAATGGTTTTCGTTATTAATAGAACATATTTTATCTTTATAGAGATAAAATTTCTGTCGAGATAAACTTGGCGCCGTGCTTTGTATAAAGCACATTTTTCATCTCAAAATTAGACACAATATTTAATCCTTAACTGTGGACATTACATACTAGTAAATGTAAAGTTCTGGAAAAACTTCTATTTTTAAATAAAGAAAAAGAGAAACAAGTACAACGATTCTCCGTTTTGTATACATATTTATCGCTGTAGTTTCTTACATTTTTTTTATCATTAATGGTGCACAGAATCATGTTTTATCATTTTTTTTTTTTGACTGAAAAATTATTATAATTCCAAATAGGTTTTTTAACAAGATGTGTTAAAAGAGGAAACCGGACTTCGTCTTCCTTGGAGAAAAATCGGAGAAATTTGAGTGTGAAATTTTGCTTGTGCCAAAAAAAGAGATTCAGATTACAAACAGAGGATTAAAACATGGAGTGCAAAAGAAGATAATATGCGAACGTGGAGCTGCTTGTCGAAGATCGACTAGAGAGAATCGATCTTCTTGAGGCGAACGAACGAGTGAGTTCTCGAGCGGTGTAAATCGCGATGGGAAAAGGGCGCGGTGAGAGAAATAATCGCGAAACACCTCCGCGGTTTCGTGCCACGATCGCGGAAACGATCGACAGCGGCGGCTGCACCGTCTCGTGTGGCGATCGCACTAAATTGCATCGACGACGAGGGAGCCTGGTTTTCTGTAATGGATCTTCGCTCACGCGTGGCTGGCAAAACACGCGCGAACCGTGAAACCAGCAAACGCCTACCGTTGCATTCCACGGTACGTTCCGTGGCGCACAATTGAGGCATTTGCTAGGAACATCGCAACTGCCAGCCAGGTCGCATACCGTCGTAAAGTTCAGCCGAGAGGGCCATATCGTTAACGTTTATGAGTTGGTTGACACCGACGAATACCCGGCTAAGTCTATACGACATTGCACGCGATAAAGCCGATAGACGTCAGCGCAATTTCGCAGATGCTTATCGGATGCGCTCGAGGATAATTTATCTCTGAAAGCCAAACAGGGGAAAACTTGTAAAAAATCTGAAGGAAAAATCGAGAAGAAAATATATTGTAAGCATAAAATCTTGTAACAACTTAGAGAGAAAAAATTGATAGTTTCGTAACGCAGATGGATGTCTCGCGTTACTTTCTTATCACAAGTTAATTTAGTTGAAATTGAAACTGACGTCAAGGATAAAAATGTTGCTATTTTAATGTTGATTATTTTTGGTATTTAGATAAACAAATAAATAAAAATTGTGATGAAACTTTTTATCACTCTGTATACTTATAGTCTGTTCATTATTTGGATCGATGTTACTGTTAATATCTCATTTATATTCCTAATTAATATTAATCAATGCAGTTTATGTGCATCACGTTACTATACCGAATTTAATCTTCTTCGAAAAGCAGATCAATGAAGCTAGCATGACATTCTATTAATATAAAAAAAATAATGACAGTTTTAGTAGCACTTTTTATAGTTCTACAGTTCTACTTAAAAATAAAAAAAGTTCCGCATTTTTTATACGAAAAAACCAAATATGAATGGCGTGAACTCTGCTAGAACTGTCGCTAAAACTATAAACTCGACACTTTCTTAAAATGTCGTGTTCGTTTTCTACATATATGTAAAATGTATAAAAATTGGAAATTGTTGGAATTCTGTTTTCAAAATGCATATATAAGTAGATTTTTGGTAGAGTCGGGAATTGTTACTAAAAATGCTAATAATTTATCATTTTCTTGTACTTTAAAGGAAAACTGTCATGCTAGATTCGCGAAGTTAGCACGTTATATTTTCATATTAGGTTTTTTCACATAAAAAATGCGGAACTTTTTTTATTTTTAGGTAGAACTGTTACATAGAACTATGAAAAGTCTTACTGGAACTGATTTTTTTTTTTTTTATATCAATGGAATGTCATGATAGCTTCACAGATCCTCGAAAAGCAGCGCCTTTTCAAAAACGCAGACACAAAAGACGCTTCGCTACGAAAGCGCAAGAATCGTACGATTGTATTTCGATTTAGAAATAGCTTTGATGCTTGTGCTGTGCATCAACGAGAAAAAGGTATCACCTCGACTCGCTGGACCGCGAAAATATATCCCACGTCTTCCATTTTTCTGTTCACCCTCTCCCGTTTTTTCTCGCCTCGCTTCTTTTCCGTATATCTTACCCACGCGCAGTATAAAGACATCATCATTTGTATGCAGCTGGTTCTTTTCGATGTAGGTTAATGGTATATGGACCTCCACGAAGGTTTCTCTGTTGCTCGATGCCTCTGGCAACTGGCTCACGCGTGCATTTTTTTTTATTATTATTATAACACGGAAAGTTACTTCGCAGACGCAATCTACATTATTACACAGAAAATATCGATGAGAATTAAGAAGAATGTGACACCTACGATACGGAAGAAATTGGATCAGCGAATTAATAAGGATTTTTAAGTAAAATGAAAATTGCGAAATATGATGAAAACAAAAATTACAAAAAATATTTTAAAATTTCCACTTTCTGAATGAATGAAGATGATCGCGACAGGATTTTTTGCGGTTCGCCAATCGATTCGATTCATCATTTCGAAGTGAATATTACTTCGTACTTCGTACGAAACGCTCCGGATGTCTCGCCTGCAAAAGAAAAAAGTAAAATAAAAATTATATCTAAATTAATTGCTGGCGGATGGTCCGGTGTGTCCGAAGGCGAGTTCGGTAATCGAATCTCTTGCTCGTGACCTTACTCGCCGATGAAACTGCAAACCGCCGCACGGCCGACCGGCTTTGTAATTGAATCCTTGATTGCTTTTTGTTTGAATTACACTCCTGCCGTCGTGTCTCCCTGTTTGCACTGGACTGACACACGCACTTGTGCACCCCTGACCTTAACCGAGCGAGAAGATCCTCCGTGAATGAAACATCGCGAAAATTGCGAGGCACGTGGTAACATGAAACGTTTCCTTCCTGAGAGTCCAGTTGTATCAGATTTGCCTAAATGTATAAAGTTTATAAAACGATCCCTAAACGCTCAATATTATTATACAAATATTTTGTACAGTATCGATTTACAGTACCTCCTTCCAAACAATCTCTGAATATAGTCTTCAAATAATCAATACATACAGAAAAATATCATTCTATTGATAAAAAAAGTGATTATTCACTTTACTTTCTTTCTTTTAAGTAATAGTTATCTTTAACAAAGAATATTTTTTATAATAATCTCAAAATATACTTATTACAAATTTTAGAAGAAACTTATTATTATATATTCGAAACTAGAATTTTTTTTAACTCTTTGTTTAACGCACGTTTTTATGTTTGTCTTTATTGCACAGGAATATATCCTGACAGTATTCAAGTGTTCCTAATTTTCTGTAAAATGCACTGATTAAAATAAATGTATAAAATCTTTATTTTAGAGGATCTAAAGAAGAGTTCAATTTAATCAAAGTTGTCAAAAATTGTAAATTGCAAAAAAAAAATAACGAATAAAATAACAAATTTTTCGAACTATTACGAAAATTACAAATATACTTTTTAAAAAAATTATTAATAGTATTTAATATAAAAATAAAAATAAAGGGACTAAAGGAATGAACTATTGAAGGTCTATATTTTAGTTATAATAAAAACATGTGTCAAAATATTCCCGTGCAAGTATGTTTATTTCGACAAATGAAATTGCACAATTTTTTATAGAAAAAGCACAATTACTAACGCTTTTTCGCACAAACGGATGATGCTAGATAGGGAAAAGTATACGTTAAACATTTAACTTTTATCTCCTTCTACATCAAAATCCCTCACCTTCCTGTTTCTACAAATGCTGTGCAATTTTCAAACGTTCTGGGTACGCTATACCCCATACAGTAACTGAAAGTTAAAATATTTTATAAAATTAATCGAAGAAGAGGCTTTAATAAGCAAATCGAATTTGTTTTAATTTAATAACCTGATTGAAGTATTAAACTTCACTAGGATTCAAAATTATATTAGGTGTTGGAATTAATTCGTAGCGTTTTACAAGTGATGGGAAGTACTTTCATTAATGTATTTTTTAATGCTCATGTGAAATAAATAACATTCTTTCATTAAAAAACGCTACGAATTAATTCCAACACCTAATATTTTAAATCAATTTAAAGCTAGTTATGAACTTAACATAGACTTATGGAGATACAAACTTTTGAAATACTTAAAACAAATAATTATTTACGTATAGCGTGTATTATTCTGTGTTTAACATTGTGCAATAATATTGATCGTCTATATAAGGACCGCTTAAGCGCCCAGTGACTGTCTATCAACATTTCGATTTTCAATATTTTTTATTAATTACAAGCGAAAGAATACAGCATAGAGAACTGAAGATGCAGTATAAGTTCTCCCTTCTGGCTCGCGAGTTTAGGATTTTGAGGGTTTTGGTCCACATGTCGGTACCGGATCTGTGCCACAAGTGCCACTATTACAATGAGGTGGTGCCATCACGCAGGGTCTGCCATCGGGACAAGACGGTGCATCTTCACAGTTTTTCCCTGGCAGGTGAATGTATTCATCATCCTCCGCCACGACCGTTGTCGAGAGTACGACGGCAATAACCATCAGCAGGGCGATAATTGATTTCATCCTTGATCGACTTTGTTCACCTGTCATGCGAGACTATGAAACATTATTGTGCAATATGATGACATCATAAAATAATGATGACATTACGATGATATTATAAAATAATAATGCGAATAAAAAATGCGACAAATAAGTAAAATTAAAAAATCAACTAATTAATAATAATTTAATTGAGAAACTGAAAGATTGAAATGAAAAAAAATTACAAGATGTCTTCCACTTGAAACGACGATGTGACAGCGAAACGCAATTTATGTTGTCATGCAGAAAATAATGAAGCAAATTAAGAATATGATATATAAGAAAAATAGGGGAGGACCAGCGAGTTAATAAAAGATTAAAAACTTTTAATAAGGTGAAGTTGCGAACTAAAATGAAGAAAAATTACACAAAATACTAATAGCTGTGTCCAAAATTATTAGACACCCTGCACTCTAACTAATTAATACATTCTAAAAAATATACGTGTGGCTTTAATACTATGTGGTGTCTACATAATGTTCACTGTGTTGGTGTTAAATGTTAATATTAACGGTGAGAATTATATGGACATGTAGTGTTAAATCCACATCTGTACTTTTTAGAGTGTATTAATTAGTTTTCTAAAAAATGATGAATTACTTTTCTTTTTAATAATTTCTTAAAATTAGTTGAGATCCATGCATATATACTTCCTTGTAATTTATCGCGTATTTGTAAAAATTTCATCCTAGTATGACATAGTTTTTAAAAAATACATATCATAGATTAGGGATCTACAAAGTCCTGACCTCGACCCGATTGAACGTTTACTAAAGAAAAACGTTTTTTGTAATTAAAAATGCACTTCGAAGCACAAATTGCGATTATGAAAGAATGAGGACGGAATTCACTTGTAAAAACCTAGTAAAGTTTTTAAAAAAAGATTGCAAACATTTTTTTAAGACAAAAGAGAAGTATAATAAAATATTAAATATTCATATTTAATACTAATTTGATTGTGTGATTGATATATTAATAAATAAATCTGTACAAACTTTTTTATTTTTAACAAAAATAATACCGATTTATACCCTCGATAATGAAAAATAACAAGAAAACAAAACGAGCACATTTTTTTGTTTTTATTTTGATGTACACTATATGTCCATACTAAGAATTATGAAATTTAAGACTTAATAATTTTGGCTGTATTTTCAGTATTTATAAAGATGACTACGACAAGATTTTTCTCGATTTGCCAAGCGATGCGATGTTACCTGAGTTTTGAGCACAAAATCTACGTAGCACCAACGATATTTCAGAAATGAATGTTCACATTACCGCTCAACCGACGCGTTTTTATCTGTTACGACCTACCCCTCGCTTCCTCTTCACAGATCGCTCTTTGATTACGTGATCCGATAATCGCCGATGTCTCATAACGTCCGATACGGCTGGTTGCGCGTGAGAAGGACGCCCGTATTTGGATGCGTTATTTTACGCACTTCCCGCGTGAATAAGAAGAAATCGCGATTTTCCGCGGGAAGAGGAAGTGAATGGACGGACAACGTGCCCTGATCTACGCCGTTGATAATTCCACCGTTTAATTTCCTCTACAATAACTGAGAGATTTTGCTCAATTCACGGAAATGATCCCTCAGCAAAATTACATAACCGAGTACAAATGAGCAAACAGATCTGACTCACGCTAAGTTGTCTGCGCGTTATTTTAGCATATTAAGCCTTCCATGATGATTGCATCTATTTGCGATAAGAGCTGCATTGAATTAATTCGATTGGATTGATCTGTGAATCATAAGAAGATGTAAGACTCTCATTTATATTAAATATTATACGTTAAACGAAATTAAGACTTTAGATCTCAATCTGTAATTAATTTTTAAATTAATAGGTGCATAGCACTTTTTTTTTATGCAGAACTTTTTAGAAACTTTTGTTCTGAAAGGAAAACAAAAATATTTTTCAAATGCTCCAGAAGTCTGAAAGTTCATTATTTTTACTAGATTAAGCATGAAATTAATAAATTGCTTATCAATTTAATTTGTGATATTACTATATCTAGTAGTTTGATTGCATTATAAGTTTAAATAGCTACATATTTAGTATATAAATTATTTAATATATATAGAAATTATTTAAAAGCATTAAAGATCTAGCTTTTACTGATTTAGGCTTCTAATTTATCGATTGTGTTCTCATATGTCTAAAATATGTGGGTTTAAAATAAGATTCTTTACTCATTGTTTTTACATTCTTCTGTTTCATAAGAGTAACTAACATAAATTTATCTATAACATAAATATAGTAGTAAAACGTGACTATAAAAATAAAATAAATTACAAGTTATTTAATAACGAGTGATTGAGAACATGTATCGCGGTACTTCGTACGTTTTGAACTTATTATTTATTACAATTTTTCCTTTCCTATTTTACATTCAGACGTTTCGGCTCTTTTGAATCATCATCAACGAATTGCGATTAATTTCTAACGATAGTCGCAATAAATTTCGATTCAAGTATGCAGCTGGGTGTACATCTTCAGTTCGACGTTTGAAGATTCACTTACAGAAAAGATTTCTAGATTTCTAGAGGAAAGGCCCTTAAGATATCGAGTTCATTTTGGGTAAATGCTAGAAGTCTACAGGCATTCTCTAAATCTGAATCAGTGGATAATCACTAATATCAGTGCCAAGTATGCTACTGGTAATCAGTAAATTAAATGCAAGATCCCTAATCTAACTAATCTTTATTATGTGATCTAATTAACCTTGTTTTAGTGCTTAAAACTCAATGAACATGGTATCGAAAAATTGAAATTAACGTGCAAATATCAGTACTTTAGTTATATAATAATTAAAAGTTTTTCAACTCCCTCGAATAAAAGTAGTTTCTGAGAGTTGCAACCGTTTAGTTGTTCGATTAAGTAAGTGCCGCTGCACACTGTAACCGTATATTAATTAGTGAGAATTTTACTTTGTATCTCGCAACATTATTCCAACTCTTATTTACTTCTTTGTATCAACCTGTTCGGGTAATTTACAGCAGAATAATAACTAATGATGGCTCAAAAAGAGTTGAAATTTGAACATAAAATAGGAAAGGAAAGATTGAAAGAATAAATACTATAAATAGTAAGTTCAAAATATTGCGATATATATGCTCTCAATCGCCCGTTATTAAATAACTTGTAATTTATTTTATTTCGAGAGCACAGTTGTTACAGATTGAAATACAATTTTTTGGAGTGTCCCATACATTATACCTATACGATTTGCATATCTTTAGACCCTACACCGAGAAAAAAAATTGAAATATTTCCAAGCAAATGTTACATGTTTTATGTAACATTTTTTCGACATTTATTGATTAAAAAAAATTAATTGTGATGATAAAATATACATTTCTATGAAATGTATTTCATTAATTATAAAAAAATAAAATAAAATAAATAGTTTATTAATTGCTAAGAATAAAATTTTATTTTACCGTATTTGAATAAGAATTTATTTCAGTAAAATAAATATTATCACAAATAAATTTTCAAGTATCTTTTTCTCAGTTCCTATGTATCTATTTATTTAATCCAGGAGTTTTACATCCTATCAACGAAAAAATATGAATTGTTGTAAAATATTATTTTGCATGGGTATTGTTTAACGTACCTTCTTTCTTTTTCAATAACTATTATTTACGAACCTTTAAATATGTAATTCTATTGAAAATTCGCCATAAAGAAACGTTATATATTAACTAAAATCTTTATTTTTTTTTTTATTGTCTTAAGCTGCTTAACGTGCTTATTTCGTTTACCTAATATTTATAATAATGTTTGGTCTCTTTCTTTTTTCTCAGAAAATTAAATCTATATCCCCATAATGTTCTCAGAGAATAATAAATTTATGATACAATCAATGATTTCAGTCAAGTATTTCAAAAACTAGTATTAATTCGAATGTACAAATGCCGATTAAATTAACAGACTATGCGCAAAAAAAGCTACGTTGTGGATTAGGAACGAGCAATACGAAAAATATATATGCGTTGTGAGTTCAAAATAGAAGTCGATATCAATACCATGTACGAAATGCCTAGTATCGACATAAACGCCGATGTGATACCAGCATATTTCTCCATTAGATCCCATTCGCGAATCGTGATATTCTCTCTCGACATGGTGAACGCAAAATTCCTTGCGTGCTGTCGCTTTATTCATAAATTTCTGCCTTTCTCTCCGTCCAAAAATATTTTATTCACGCGCATACATTCGCAAATGTAGGATACACCATACGATACGGTTAGTAGCGCTCGTGATATCGTATTATACTTGAATCGGAAGTCCGTACTCGGCACATTGATCCGTATTAACTCGCGAAGTGGCGCGCATTCAACGGTGCGCGGATCCGTTACTCGTGCCTTCTCGCGGTCTCGGTTCTTCATCCTAAACAAAGCATTCGTTAAACATTCATCAATTATTTCCTTTCCTGATGTATATCCAGCCAGCCGATATGGATCCCTGACTGCAAACTCGATTGCACGAGTCCAATCACGAGTCAGGCATTATCGCAACATTCTCTCCGAGCCATATGATCTCAAATGGGATATGATCAGGTAGAAAGTAATAAGGCTGAAAATAAATTTTAAATGAAACTTGAAAAGGAAGAAGACAACCAGTGGCTGTCTCATTATTATGTATTCACAACTAGAATTTTTTTAACTCTCTGTTTCCGCACGTTTTTACTTTTGTCTTTATCGCACAGGAATATATCCCGTCAATGTTCAAATGTCTCTAATTTTTGATAAAATGTACTGATTAAAGTAAATATATAAAATCTTTATTTTGGAGAATCTAAGGAAGAGCCCCATATAAGTGAAATTGTTAAAAATCGAAAATTGTAAAAAATATTTAATAATGGACAGCAGTGAATTCGTTGATCTGTCACGAAAATTATGAATATATGTACTTTTTAAAAAAAATTATTAATATTTAATATAGAAATAAAAATAAAAAAACTGCAGGAATGAATGGTTGAAGGTGTATGTTTTAGTTAAAATGTGTCACAGAGAAAATATTCCTGTGCAATACATTTCGAAACGACAAGTGAAATTGCACAATTTTTCGTAGGAAAAGCATAATTACTACCGCTTTTTCACTCAAACTGACGACACTAGATAGAGAAAAGTATACGTTGAACACTTAACTTTTATCTTCTCCTACATTCAAGTCTCCTCACCTTCCGGTTTCTATAAATACTGCGCAATTTTTAAACATTCTGGGTATGCCACTCGTACGCTCTCGTACAGTAACTGAGAGTTGAAAATATTTTATAAAATTAATCAAAAAAAAGACTTTATATAATAAGCAAATCAAATTTGTTTTAATTTAATAAAGTTGAAATTTAATAACCTGATTGAAAAATTAAACTTACTAAGATTCAAAATCATATTTTGAATAAATTTAAAGCTACAGAGAATTTTTTCTTAGAATTTATCCTGAAAATATGACAGATATGGGACAGTATTTCGAAGAATTTCAATGCAAATCTCTCTCATTTATTAATAAAACTACATAAAGTATAAAATAAGTTTGATCAATTTTACTGAAGTGCGTGGTAAAAATTTTTAAAATATTGTATTGTAACATAACTATCATATTTAAAGGATAAATTTTAAAAGAAAATTCTCTCTGGATAATTGTCTTTATTAATGTGCCTTTTAGCTAACTTGCTTATTGCTGAATTAATTATTAAATATTGTAGCTTAATTTTATCCGCTTGCAATCAATATCGATTTTTCAACTATTTCTCTTTCTTATGATATATCTTTAATCTAAAAAATGTTAATATTTTATAATATAAAACAGACAAAAATAAAAAACATATTTTTGTCCCTATTAGTGAGTTCTCCAAGCGACGATGACCCTATTAATGTGCCTCCAATTTGTGTGCCTCCACATTTGACTCATTTTAACATATGGTAGTTACTAAAACAGGTAATAAATTTAAGCTAATTGTTTAAGTTAATATATTACATAAATCATTATTTCAATTATATTTATTTCAATGTACACTCATAACACAACGTTCTCAGCTCCAATATTAATCCAGGGCACATTAATAGGGACAAGCTTAAAATCTTGCGGTACATATTATTGAATTCACATAAATTCCTCATATCTTTTGAAAAATATTTAAAATATAATACTTCAATACTCAAAAAATAAAATAAATTATTATTTTTGTATGTATTAATAATTTAATTTAACAAAAAAAAATATTTTTTCTTATTTATTCGTGCTAGTTTTCTTTATGACTTATCGAAATACAAAAACACACTAATAGGGATTGGCACAGTAATTGGAACAGTACCCTAGTAACTGAATTTAACATAGACTTGTGGAGATGTAAACTTTTGAAATACTTGAAACAAATAATTATTTGCGTACAGTATGTATTATTTTGTGTTTAACATTGTACAATATTATTGATCGTCTAAAGATCGCTTAAGCATACAGTGATTGTCTATTAACGATTGTCTACATTTGTTATTAATTACAAGAAACGTAAGAATACACCATAGAGAATTGAAAATGATGTAGTGCTCCCTTCCGGCTCGTGAGTTTAGGATTTTGAGGGTCTTGGTTCACATGACATACGTTCCTGGTTGAAGCAGGGTTTGTTAGGCAAGAAACAAAATGGTGTTTCTAAACATTCTTGCGATGGAGTCGGAGTCGGTGGAACCGTTCCATCCTGCGCCACGACCGTCGTCGAGAATACGACGGCAATGACCAGCAGGGCGATAATTGATTTCATCCTTGATCAACTTTGGTCACCTGTCATGTGAGATTATGAAACATTATTGTGCAATACGATGACATCATAAAATAATGATGACATTACAATGATATAAAATAATAATGCGAATAAAAAAATACGACAAATGAGTAAAATTGAAAAATCAACTAATTAATAATAATTTAATTGAGGAACTGAGAAAGATTAAAGTGTAATGAAAAAAATTATACAAAATGTCTTCCACTGATGACAATGTGACAGCAAAACGCAATCTACATTCAGAATCGTGCAGAAAATAACGAAGCAAATTAAAAATATGACGTGTTAAGAAAAATGGGGAGAGGACGAGTTAATAAAAATTAAAAATTTTTAATAAGGTGAAGTCGCGAATTAAAATGAAAAAAATTACATAAAATACGGCCGTGTCCAAAATTTTTAGGTATCTTATAGGGTAACTCCGGCAAATACGCCGTGCTAGGATTTATATCGCAAAAGTCAGAAAAAATATAAGGAGTGAGATTAATTTTCCCGTAATTATTCTGTTACATGCCTTTATTTTACAGTATTGTGTTATAATTTCAGTTTCTTACTGTTAACATTAATGAAATTATTGTGAGTTGAATCGAGTTGTCACTGTAATAAGTGCCATTATAAATTATAATCTACATAAAATGATTACTGTAGAGTGCGTGAACAGTAAAAGACTTAGGTCCGATTTCACAATATATGGTTACCTAAAGATTAAAGATAACCAAGAGTTCTATAAAGCTAGCAGGACCAAATCATTAGAATCAAATCGGACCTATCGGATTTTTAGTACTCATTTTGTATTAAATTTTACCATTAATAATAATTTTGTATCGTGTGTGCCATTTCGAAAAAAATCGTGGCGCTACTGGCTTAATTAAACCTATTAAGCTGCTAGGATCAATTTAAAATAAAACAAAAAAAGAAAAGTAATATTAGAAATCTTAAAAATTTTATAAGATCTTTAGAATCAGACTTTTAATCTCGGAAAATTTTACATTTTTTTTTTGTACTGATAATTCTGATATAATTATTTGAATGTTCGCATGAGCAGTTTTTTATAAATTATGCAACTTATGAGTGTCAATAACTTCACAAAAAAAATTTCACATTTTTTTCGCAAAACATATTTTGTCTCATATTTTTATTTGTAGAATAAGTATGTTAACAAATTAAAAAAAAATAAAGTTATGTTTCAAACGTGTCCAATTTGACGTGGAATGTCTTCAGTTAAGGCTGCATTTCTTGCACAATTTATCTTTTTTTTATCTTCTCAACGTGAAAAGAAAAAGAGGAAAAATGAACTGTTATACACGAAATTCAGCTGAAAAGAATAGAAGTTTATATCAATAATGCAAACTTTCAATAAAATTTCAACCGGATATATATTCCCGGATATTCGACTGTCCAGTCGGATAATAAAAAAGTGCCAAATAATACCAGATACCGGATACTTTTCGGATATCGGATGCATCCCTAATTTTTAGTATGTAGATCAAAATAAAAATAAAAAATTGCTCATTTTGTTTTCTTGTTATTTTTAATTATCGAGGGTCTATAAATTGGTATTATTATTGTTAATAATAAAAAAGTTTATACAGTTTTATTCATTAATAAATCAATCAATCAATCAATCAAATTAATATTAAATATGAATATTTAATATTTCATTACACTTCCTTTTTGTCTTAAAACTTCTGCAATTTTTCTTTTAAGAACTCTACTAATTTTTTGCAAGTGGATTCCGTCCCCATTCTTCCGTAATCACAATTTGTGCCTTGCTTTGAAGTGTATTTTTAATTACAAAAACGTTTATCTTTAACCTTCCAGCAGGTGCGCGTGTATTCCGCATGAGTCTCTCAAGTTTTTCTTCAGTGTCTTTCGGGCTGTCATTCAGTGTCTTACAAGGAGCGATATCAACAGTATCAGCGCTATCGTGTCATTCTATTTTTATCATTCATTAGACGTAAAACAAGAATAGGATATATAGAGCGTGTTCCGAATTACACATAAAGCGTTTGATGTACCTTTTATCCTTGTTCATCTAAAAAAGGATAAAATGATACATCATGCCGACGAGATATCATTAAAGATCGTGAACTCTGGGCAAATTTTCCATACAAAAAGAGTCTCGAGGGCCCGGAAATAATTGAAGAATGCTGATATTATCGACACTTGATATAAATTTGCGATTATTAACATAAATATTTGGATAATATATCATTAAATTGTTGATTTTTTATTATATAAATAAGAGAGAGTATGCATAATATTATATCTTATATATTGCTGCAAAATTATGATTTTTTTTCTCTACAGTTATCATCTCTATTGATAATCAAATTCAACGATAACATTAAAATCGTAATTATTATTACAGTAGTTTAATTACGTTTATAAGTCCGGAAAAACAATTTGGCGCGCAGTTGGAATGACTACAAATATGGTATATATGCATGTACATACATATATAGTATCTATATATAATTCACATTGAAGTATTTAAGCATTAAAGATCCAGCTTCGAACAGTATAGGCATTTAATTTCTAGTTCGTATTAGTCGCGTTTTCATAATTATATTATCACTATTTTTCCCATTACAGTCTCTTTTTCTTTTTTTACTCAGTTTTTGTTTTAAACATTGTCCCAGAATCCGATTAGATATCCAGAAAATTTCGGATAGCAAACTCGAAAAATTGCCTTCTCGGATATCCGATCGGATACTTTCTTTTCGGATATTCGAAATAATTTCACGATCCGGTGCATCCCTACTAAGAATTATAAAATTTATAAGACCTAATAATTTTGGCTATATTTCCGGTATCTATGAAGATGATTACAACAGAATTTTTCTCAGTTCGCCAAGCGATTCGATATTATTGATATTACCTGAATTCTCAGCACAAAATCTACTTTGGTGGCACCAACGATATTCCAGAAATGAATGTTCACATGACCGCGCAACCGATTTTTATTTATTACTCCCTACCCTTCGCTTCCTCTTTATAGAAACTGCTCTTTAATTGTGACCGATAATCACCGATGTCTCATTACGTCTGATACGGCTAACTACACGTGCCAAGGTTTTTTTTAATTTACTGAAATTTTACAGATAAATATGAGAGACGCGTGTTTCACGAAAATAGATTTTAGATTTTTTTTTGTCAAGTTATTCACGCTTGTAAGTTGCAGAAATTCATAAGAAACGTCACTCATATCAACATTCAAATTATTATATCATCAAAACCATGTTATACAAAAAAAAATGCAAGAGACCAATTTTAAAGATCTTAAATTGTTCTATGGATGGAGTTATTTTTAATTTAATATTTTCATATAAAAAATTATTTTCTATTTATTTACAATTTTTATTAACATTTTTCATCAATTCATCAATTTAAAAATTTTATAAAAATATCATATTCCAATTTCATCTATAGAGTAACTCTGAAAATTTCAAAATGGAACCCGAATAGAATGTATAGTTAAATAATTCTTCAAGGGTTAAGAGCGTAACAGCAAGTTAATATATGCTAATGTTTTAATTTATAAACAAATATGCTAACATACGTTTCGACCAATACATTCAAGTCATTTTCAATGTAGAGGAAAGTCGCTGATATTGACATAGATCTTCTAAAGTGACATCCCCTTATTTCTCAGAAACTATTGCACTATATTAATACTATAATAAAATCATCTGTTAATTAAAGAAGTGTAAATTCATAATTCGTGTATTTGTGGTTTTCTATTCTAAATCAGCTAAAATGAATTCTACGAAAATAAAATTCTTACGATTTTCTTTTGCAAATTGCATAGTTTAAATAATAGTGACTATATTATATATATTATTGATAATATTACGTCATTTTAAATGCTTGTAATTTCCTAAATCAGTTTTATATTATTTTTTCTCTTAGTTTTTTTATAATACTATTTTAAATTTAAAATTGAGATGCAACGTAAATCGCCACACTTGTAAAACAGATCAATGAGTTAACTTAATCTTTAAAATATTGCTTTATAGTATCAAATAGTTTTATTGAAGTTGAAAAAAATTGTGCATATATGGAAAAACTCTTGAAAAACTATCGCGTTACGTATTTGCAAAACAGCATAAAGTAAATATGCAAATAATTGAATAAAAATGTTTTATAACGAAGAGAGAGAGAGAGTGAAAAGATTTCAGAATATCTTATATACATTCATTAGAATATGATATTCATACAATAAAACCTGTGTTATCTTCTCGCAATTAATCGTCAATTGCAGTTACCACTATGTATCTCTTAACAGAAATTAAAATATCATCAAAAAAGCAATTAGTCGTCAATTGAAATCCGGTTGTCACTAAGTATCTCTTGACAGAAATTAAGACATTTTAATTTCTATCAAGAGGCAACCGGATTTCAATTGATGACTAATTGCGAGAAGAAGATAACAGGTTTTATTGTATGAATATTATATCCGAATGTAATTTAGAATTAAGTAGTTTAATATGTAGATTTAGAACGTTTCTTTTTAGTATGTTCTAGGTAGTAACATTGAAAATGACTTGAATGTATTGGTTGAAATGTATGTTGGCATATTTGTTTATAAATTAAAACATTAGCATATATTAACTTGCTGTTGCGCTCTTAATCTTTGACGTTTTATTATTTGTTATACAATTGAGCGATAACTATTTGATTAATTTAAAATAATTCTGTTGTGACGGCGCGGTTACGTATATGTATGCATAGATCTACATACTATTGATAAAATAACAGTACTGTACGGAATTATACTTGTAGAATATTACAATATATAAGATTAAATAAAGTATGTTCATAATTGTGGATTAATATTATTTGTATGTGCATTTTTCTCTATGAACTTGGATATTCTGAATTTTTTGATTATATATAATATATTGCACACTAATTGACATTTCTTTGTTATTATAATGACAGCTTGGATGCATCGCCGAATATTATAAATGTGATAATTTTAAAAACATGTACAGTGAATATTATATACAGAATGCAATCGTGAAAATAAATTATTATTTTATACTTTTTATAGTGCAAATAAATTCTTTAAGGGTTTTACACTATATATTCTATTTATTCAAGTTTTTTGAATAATACAATATCGAAAAATTATTATGTATATACATCTTTATTGTTGATAATCTACAGGGAATAGCTTCAAAATCCAAGATCATGCAAGTTCCTTAATTCTACTTACTCATCAATTTATTCTACAACTCTGTTTCACTTGGCTGAAATTTTAATGAGAGCATTTTTGACTTTGAAACAAACACTTAATTCTTTTAATTGTTTCATAGTGAAATTTACGTACAATAGAAAAAATATTGCACTTCCGCGGCACTTGATTCTGTAGCTGTATTTAACTAGGAGTGCAATAAACTCACATTCTCAGCAATCTCGTGTTGCTACCATTGAACGAGTTTTTAATGCGCACTCAATACGGACTAGTGAAAAACGCTAAGATTAAAAGCTTATGCTGCATTTGATAACGTCTATCTATTACGAAATTAAGATACCTATATTTTAACTTCAAATATTTTTTGTGTTACACGATACACAATTTTACAAATAAAATTTTATCCTGAATTTTGATATAAATTATTTATATTATCAATGACAATATAAAATGGATTGTACTCAATTACAAGAAAAAGATCTTATAATTAGAGCTTTTCTTCTAAGAATCGTTCATATACTTTCTAAATTTTTTTTAATAGAATTTCACTCTTAAGAATAAAAATTGAGCCAGTCTCGAAAAAAGACTGGCTCAATTTTCAATCTTGAAGAGTAAGATTTCATTCTTCAAAGTGAAAAATTTATTCTGAAAATTTTAAAGAGTTGATATACACAATATTGTAGAAATTACGATAAAATCTTTCGACTCCAAGAACTCGGGCAAATAAAGAAAGAAATGAATTTCCTTTCGCAGCTTCATGCAGCCGCGCTGTCCTCCTTGCGGTCCGAGGTGGCCGAATTGAACTCACGGCTAGTGGCGGCTACTCGCGCGCGGGAAACGGCTGAAACCGCGCTGATGCGGGCGGAGGTCCAGGCGGTCCGCGCCGAGCAACGAGCGGAACAGCAAGCGGTACGACACGAGGAACGGCTCACCGAGTTGCATTCCGTCATCGCCGAGCTCGGCAGACAGCTGGAGCGGCATCGCGCTACCGTAATTGCCGAGGAGGACGAGTCCGGTAAGAGAGTCCGTTCCACGCTCCACCCTGCTTTGATTATACGACGTACGCGGGAGAATATCGCGATTCCGCGTACCGATTTCGCTCAACGAAGAATGAGAGAGGAAGAGAATCTTGGCGAATCTTTGAGTAACGAAAGCCACGGCAATTCCCCGGCGGGCAATCAGCGGATCTCCCTAGACTCCGACTATAACAATAGTAATAGCTCTCTCGGTGACTCTCGATTCGTACTCTTGATTCCTCTTCTCGATACCAAGAAGGAGAGCAATCTCTTAGGGACTCGCGACGCATACACTATAGCATCAGTGTACTATCGCGAAAGACAGTCACTTATTCGATAAATAACCGGGATTGATGGAATAGATCGTTTCTTCGAACCGTATAATTGTCGAGCGAAGTACCAAGTAAGTATTAATCGTCGGTGGTCGCGGTCTGAGGAGATGATCTTGATGATGCGCAGAAGTCGAGACAAGCAGGGACGCCGAGGGTTCCATCACCAACCCAGTAGAGGAGAGCGAGGGTGGCGGGGACATCCAGGGAGATGGGGATCGCACTTTGGGGGATGCCGACTCTAGCTGCTGCGAGGACGAGAATCGACCGACAGAAGTAAAGAAAATCCTATAAAAAAAAACTTTTAAAATTCTAATTTTGAACGTAAAGGAAAAAATAGGTCTGTAAGCGTTGCATGAAATCCCTAAATATTTTTGCACTTAAGAGATAGATATATATTTGGCTTTGAAAAGAGAGAAAGCGGAGATGTGCAAAAAGTGCGAGCAAACGTGAACAGATCTATTGGTATTATGATAGTGTGGGTAGCACAATGGCCTCCTCCCCTCTTTTTTTTAATCTTTGCTATTAGGTGGTGAATTCTAGTAATTACTACGGAATTATTTACTCAGTAGCTCGCTATGACTAATGAAATAAAGATACATTTTAATATTTAATTACATGTACTTCCGTATTCTTCTTAAACTTAAACGTATTATCACACGAATATACATTATGTATATATATTTGAGTGTGTTGTTTAACATTTTATTTGACTGTATACATCTCGAGTTATGCAAATTTTAATAATAGCCTGGTTTGCTAATTTTGCTACATTCTGTAATATTTTACTTTTTTGTTGATTTTGTAACTAAATACTGTTTTTTAAACAAAACTAATTCTTTAAATCTATTTTTGTGAAAAGTCGCATTACCACCCTTATTTCTTTTCGAGCTGTTATACAATATCGTCATATATTTATAAACAATGCCTTAAATAATAAATGTAATTTCATAACTTTGAATATGGAATCGATTGAATAATACTTTAATGAATATAACTGTTAAGTTTTAAGTTTAAATAATGATTTTTAACCAAGTTATTATATTATATAAAATGTAAGTGGGATGCCATAATATTACTTTCACTTATAATATATCTACACTGAGAGAAAAAAATGGTTGCAATTACCATAATTTAATTGTAATGATCGTAATTTAATAATATAATATACTATAATAACTGTAATTTTATTTTTGGTGCTAATTAAATATTTTTTTTGCATAACTATAAATACAATTATTATTACTAACATTATAGAACAATTATAAAAATGAAATTCCTAACTATATAACATTTTATCATGCAATTATAGTTATAATTATATGGAGAGAATTTTTATCATAAACTTTGCTATAAATTTATATTTTTCATTTAGTAATAAATAAGTTGGAACGAGTGGAACAATTTGGCAATTTATTAAATATTAAATATT